TGGGCGGGCACAGGCCAAGGGGGCCGCCGGGCGCTCTGAGGGGGTGCGGGTGGCGGCCGTGCTGTGCGGTGTCTCAAAGGGCCTGCTTTGGTTTTCTCCAGCGACGACAGAAGCCGAGACGGAGCCAAGCCTCACCCCCAATGTGATGCTCAACACGGAGAGCAGCGAGGGATATGTGGTGAAAGTCAGGGGGCTGCCTTGGTCCTGCTCCACCGAGGAGGTGCAGAGGTTTTTCTCTGGTAAGCAGAACTATGGGGGGATAGAGGTCTGGGAGAGGGGCTGGGCTCTGTTGTCAGTTCTGGGTTCCTCCTGGGGGATGCTTTGGCAGTGGGAATGCTGCAGCGAGCAGTTGCAGAAAGCGTTCGGGGCACTTCAGTACCCGATGGAGTTTGCAATGCAATGAGTGCCTCAGCTAGCACGCAGTATGGAAAGCTATGCTTTTGCTAGCAGAAACTAGACATGCAGGAGCTGAGTCTGTGAGTTGCTGGGATAGCCACAACTGCCTTGGCTTGTTGAGCAGCCAGAAGAGATGAGTTTCTGTTTTAAAGGAAACTTCAAAATGCTTGCTTCAGGTTGAAATAAATAGTTTAGTTCTTCGTGCTGTCCTAATAGGCTCTCTTGTGTTAAGTGTTAGTGTGTCGTGTCCTTCCTGCAAATTATTAGCATCCTGCAGTAATAAACAGTGGTGGTAAATCCATGCTTTCTTCAGTGGCTAGAGGTTTTAAAGCTGCTTCAGGAGTTTGGCATATTGGACTTGGTTCTGATCTAGTTCATTATGCTTACACTGATTGTTATCTCCTTATTTCACTTCATGCTGATGATAAAGTCTAAGTCAGTTACGATCAAAAGCAGGTAGCACATTCAACTTGACTTGAGGCAGCAAAGCTTTGAAAATAGGTAACGAATTTGCATTTATCCTTAATGTTTTGCTAGTCTTCAGACTTGACAAGAAGGGTAACTTCATTTTAGTTAGTCCCTTAGTTTATTGGTCACTATAAAAGTTATAGCAAGAATACTGCTGCTGTTGTTGTCTTGCTATAATTTGATAGTTGTTGTTAGTTTTTCCTTTTAGAATATCTGAAACTTTCGAAGTCACAGTGTTTCTGTAATAATTAATTCTGGCCTTCCTGTTTCTTTTTCAGACTGCAAAATTCTGAACGGGGCTTTGGGTATCCGTTTCATCTACACCAGGGAGGGCAGACCGAGTGGAGAAGCATTTGCTGAACTTGAATCAGAGGAGGATGTGAAATTGGCACTGAAAAAAGACAGAGAAACAATGGGACACAGATATGTTGAAGGTTTGACTCAGTTGGTCTAGTAACTGACTAAATGTGTTTGTGCTTGATGGGTTTTTGGTTAATTGCTTTTCTGTCTCTAAAATGCATGTGAAAGGACAAATGGACTTGTGTATCATAAGTTGACTAGTTTCGAGGCAAGTGGCTTTTTAAAACTGTTGTGTATTCCAGAATGCATTAATTCTAAGTGCCTTTTACAGTTTTCAAGTCAAACAACGTTGAAATGGATTGGGTTCTGAAGCATACTGGTCCCAACAGCCCTGATACGGCTAATGATGGTTTTGTGCGTCTTAGAGGACTCCCATTTGGCTGTAGTAAAGAAGAAATTGTCCAGTTTTTTTCAGGTATGTGGGATAAAAGTAGTAGCTGTAGCACTATTGGTCTATGTTAAAACAAAAAAAACAAAACCAAAAAACCACCACGGATTGCCCAGTAGTACTTCCAACAGTATACTGATGAGTATTTATACTTATTTAAGTAAATAAGCAATTCTTCATTAGTTATCTGGGCTTGAGGGATCAATTCCTAAAGTACATGTTTATTAAATAATCGAGGGAACTCCAAAAAGCTGCTCTGACTTACACTTAGCGGGACGTACTGTTCCAAGTAAGGATAGCAGAAAACAAGTGTCTTGCTTTCTAAATTAAAAGTGAACCATTCAGATGGGAGGATATTTCCACCCACAGTCCTAGCTGGTTCATGCTGCTCAGTGAAGGATGTAGAACACCCCTGCTGCTGGGCTCAGTACAAGGAGAAGGATCTGAGGAAGGGCATGCATCGTGCCTGTGACTTCTTATAAACATAGATTTAGTATCGAATAAGATTC